GAGTTTTAAAGGAGTTTTTTGTATAATTGAGATTTTTGATCATTAATCTTTTATATTATGAGTTTAACTACGAAGTGAGTTAATTTTTAATTCATGATTGGTTTCATTTAACACATGGGTACATTGTGATTTCATGATTGGTTTCATTCAACACATGGGTACATTGTGATTTCATGATTGGTTTCATTTAACACATGGTTCACGAGGTTAAACAGTCAAAATGTATAAATCAATTAGGAAAAGAAATAAAGGAAAAAAAAAAATTGACTTATTTATAATAATTTTTTGATTAATTTCTTCTATTTGGAAAAAATAATGACCTAGTTGTTAATTATGTTTCATCCAAAGCGTAGTAAGCAATTTTTTTTAACAGTAAAATATAAGCTGATCCAGATTTTTCAAAAAATTTAAAAAACATTTCGTCGATAATTAAAATGGTTACAGAGATTAAAAAGATTTGATAAAACACTTGTTTCCAGTCCACTTAAAAATATGGCTCGAGGCATTCAAGCTCCTGAATAACCTTAGTAACTTTGGTTTATTCTCATTAAGGTTTAGATCTAAAGCCAAAATTTAAATAAAACATTAAATTATTCAAGTTATTCAAGAATATAAAAAACATACAGTTAAACATCATAGGAGGATTACAGTTAAGATAATGTATTACAACTCGTAGGTCTTTTTTCCAAGTAAGAATGACTTTTTTTAGTAAACAAGTAAGAGAAGCAATTGATGAAAAAAAAAATCAACTATTGGAGAGTTAATCCACGCAATAAACATTAGAGAAAAAAAAAATACAAAAAATGTCTAAAACATTGGAACAAATATCTAACAAATGAAAACAAACAATGGTTTACATCCAAAAATTTAAAATGTGAAAGCTAAGTGTGTTTTGAATGGTTGCCAAAAAAAATTTTTGTTCTAAAAATCGAAGAGAACAATGTTTTTTACACTTATGATTGTAGTCAGACATTTTAAAATGTTTCCAAGCTCGGAACCTTTTAAAATGTAAGCTTTAACATTTTAAATTTTCGGGTGTTTGACCATTGCTTATTTTCATTTGTTAGACTTTTTTTCAATGTTTTGGACACTTTTTGTATATTTTTTTTTTTTTTAATACAAAAAAACTTATCGCCGAACATGTATTTTTTTGGCAAGCATGTAAAACACACTCAGCTTTGACATTTTAAATTATCGGATGTAAACCATTGTTTATTTTCGTTTGTTAGATTTTTGTTCCAATATTTTGGACACTTGTATTTTTTTTGTTGTATCGTATTTTCTCCAATGTTTGTTGCGTGGATTGGCTCTCCAATGGTTGATTATTTTGTATAGTGTTAAAATAAATTTTCCTTTTTTTTTTTTTATCTTTTGAGATTCTCTTAATTTTTTGGTCTTCATAATGTTTAACATCTCGGATAATATGAGACATTCTCCTTCAAGTTTGTTAACTCTGGCATTTTTTTGCTTTGTAGTGTTGACATGATCAAATCTTGATTGTTCTTTTAATGCACGCTTTAAAACAATTCTGTTTTCTTCAATAGCAGTTCAATCAGATTGAAATTTGCTTACGGATTTATCACAAATACTAATTAAGGCTAATTAATTGAGACTGGCGTGCGTAGATAACGACCATACGTAAATAAGTTACTATTTAGTAGATAAGCATAAATTTTTTTTTTTTTTAATTTGCATTCACTCTCAACAAGGCTGCAAGCAACCACTACTAAGTTGGGAGTTACTAGGAAAAAAAAGAACAGAGTTATAGAGCAAGGAAACGGTTGACAGAAGACTTAAAAAAGTTGAAGGTTGTATGAGTCAGGAAAACATGAAGATGGGAGAGAGTTCCAAAGGATTGAAGTGCGGGGAAAAAAACTAGATGAATAAAAGTTTTTAGAGCATGCAGGGACAGATACAGTAAACGAATGAGACTTAGCTGAATGACGAGTAAAACGAGAACGAATTTTAGTTGATGGAACTAGAGATGATAACTCCAGTGACCATGATACTATTTGTAGAAAATAGAAAGAGATGCAACTTTACGACGATGGGAAGGAGGCTCAAGCTTAGCAGATAGTCCAGGTCCAACAACATTTACAATGCGTTTTTGGACCTTGTCAAGAAGAGAAAGTGAATCGTTAGAAGAACCAGCCCAAATATGACAACAGTATTCCATACAGGGACGAATAAGAGATTTGTAGAGGTAGAGAATGGAATCAGAAGCAAGGAAATGGTGAGCACGATAAAGAGAAGCAACCTTAGCAGAAGCTAATTTAGCAATCGATTGTATATATGGTTTCCATGAAAGGTCAGTAGTAAGCGATAATCCAAGAAGACGTAAAGAGGAGGACTCAGTAAGAGGATTGCCATTCATTAATATAGGAATGTTGACTATATTACGGTAGTTGTTTGCAGTAAACAACTGGGTTTTGTTAGAGTTGAAATTCACAAGCCATTGTGAACCCCAATCTATTACTAAAGTGAGATCGGATTCAAGATCAGCTGCTTGTTCTAGGCGATCGAAAAGAGATCGAAAAGACTTTTTGTCAAGACAGGAATATAAAGTTGAGTCATCAGCAAAAAGGGCTACTTTAGATGAAAGGTTGTCAGGAAGATCGTTTATATAAATAAAAAAAAAACAGGGCCCAGGATGGAACCTTGGGGAACCCCAGAAGTTACTGGAAATAAAGAAGAGTGTTGGCCTTCAAGGATGACTTTAATAAACCGGTTAGAAAAAAATGATTTGATAATCTCAAAAACTTTCCCAGAAACACCATGTGAAGCAAGCTTATGGAGAAGACCAGCATGCCATTTTCCAACAAGCAGGAAGACAAGACTCAGTCAAACACTTGTTAAATAGTTTAGAGAGAATTGAAGAAAGTTTTGGAGAACAATTCTGCAAGACTGTGACAGGAATGTTGTCTGGACCACAATCTGTAGACGAGTTTAATTGAGATATGACTTTAGCAACAGAAGCCGGAGTGATTTGAATGTATAACAATGGGTCAACCTGTTTGACTGGAATGGAAGGAAGAGAATGTCCATAAGATTCAAGAGTGGAATTAGAAGAAAAGTTCTTTGCAAATAGTTCTACCTTATCCTTGGGAGAGGTAATAAGATCAGTCCCATGAATAAGAGATGGAATGTTAGATCTACCCTTGTTAACAATGCTGTTGAAGATTTTTTTCATAAGTCTTTAGAGCCTAACTTCTGTGATAAGGTGCGAGATTTAGTGAACTGAGAATAATGGAGTTTAGCATCAGAAAGCACCTTTTTACATCGATTTCTTGCAGTAATAAATAGCCGTTTGTTCTCAAGAGAGTTGTTCTTTTGAAAAAGATGAAAAAAATGGTTACGATTGGATATAGCAGCCGCACAAGAAGGAGAAAACCATGGAGTAGAATGAGGCTTGACTTGAAACCGACGAGAAGGAATAAAAGCTTCCATTCCAGCCTGAACCCAGGAGATTACGTAGGAGGCGCATTTGTCAGCTGAGAGAGAAAAAACATCAGCCTAAGGACCATCACGAAGAAAATCACAAAAGGAATCCCAGTCAGCTTTAGGGTAGTAGTAGGTGGTGCGATGATAAGGTGAGGCCAAAAAAGAAGTACGAGAAGAAAGATTTATAGAGATCATTGCATGGTCAGAATTACCTAAGGGAGAAAAGGGAGAAACTGAACATAAGCTAGGGTCAGAGACAAGACATAAGTCAAGGAGTGAAGGTAAATGATTAGGGTTGTCAGGAAAACGAGTCACAAAGTTAACTATCTGAGTTAGAGATTGAGAAACGCAAAAGTTAAAGGCTTTAGTGCCAGCAGGATCAGTGGTGTTAGAGCCAAGCCATTCAGTGTGATGGGCATTAAAATCACCAACAACAACAATATTGGCAGAGGGGTAAAGAGAGAGGGCATGGTCAATTTGATCAGATATGACATCTAAAAGAGTGCAATCACGGGAAGAAGGAGAACGATAAAGAACAAAGAGAAAGGTGAAAGAGTGAAGAGGTGCTAGGCGAAAGCACATAAAAGAATGGTCAAAGGATTCGAACTTGATTTCACGACAAATAGGGGATTTAATGCGTAACGGTTTTAGAAAAATTTTAATTTTCAAAACGATCAGATAAACAACTTATATGTTCGATTATGTTTTCCCACTTTAATATTTTTCTTCATCTTAAGAAGAACGAGGAGTCGGAACTATTTGAATCTTTTCCGCCCCTCTTTATTTTAACCTTTAGCTAAAGAAGAGGAGCTCAAGTGATCTCTTGACCTAACTGTTTTTGATTAGATTGTGTTATATTTTTTTTATTTGTTAAAAATATACTTTTCATTACAACTCTTTTTAATGAGAAAGCTTGGTTTAACAATTAAAGAACTTCCTTTATCACTTTTATTAACATTTTACAAAAAACGAATAGACTGCTATATCACATAGGCCCCATTGATTTTAGAGAAGTAAATACAGTAAATACAGTAAATAGTAAATATATATATATATATATATATATATATACATATATATATATATATATATATATATATATATATATATATATATATATATATATATATATATATATATATATATATATATATATATATATATATTTCATTACAAGTTACGTATTATGTTGTAGCTCACGTCCATTATGAATTATTCTTTGGAGCAGTATTTTTTATACTCGGTGTATTATACTTTTAATTAAAAACTTTTCCGCCAAAACATTAGATTTTTAACAATTAACCAGTCAAATCAATATAAAAGAAGGAGCAAGTATTTTTACTTACATCTTTCACTCTCTACAAAAGCTGTCTCTTCCAAGCACACAGCTTATGGGCATGGCGTATAATTACATTTTAGTGTGTGAGTAACATGAAGCATACTCAAAACATTTTAGTTATAAGTTGATAATTACGTTAAATAACAATGCTATGCAAAAAAATGAAAAGCTTTATCTAGGATCAAAAAACATAATTTTACTTTTTCCCGACTCTCCTCTTGTATTACGAATTGTTTATTCCATAAATTTGAGCGATAGGTTGCAAATTTCATAAGAAAAATGACTGAACGAAATAAGTATTTAAAAATGTATATATACAAATACAGACATATATTTTTAATACAAAATAATAGTTCTATGTGCAACAATATTTAAAATTATGCTCAGTTGGTAAATAGTTTGACTGAAGAAGATAATTACTAAATAATTGAAAAAAGAAACATATTGCAAACACAGATAAAACTCCTTTCGAAGATTAAATCTAAAAAATAAAGTTAAAAACCAATAAAAGTAGAGTGAAAAATTTTCATATTATCTTAAAAAAAAAGCTAAAAAAAACATAACAACAAACCGTAACGGTTTCTTCTTCTCTGAACAGTTTATGTTTTTTCTTTTGAAAACTCATAAAAATAAGTTTTATGGAAAATACCTTTCTAACTGTTAATTGGTTGTTATCTACTGAAAAAAAAACAAGAAGTTACAAAACAAAAAGTGAATTCGAACCTATTTCATCTATATTCTCAGTAAATTATATATATATATATATATATATATATATATATATATATATATATATATATATATATATATATATATATATATAATTTACTGAGAATATATATATATATATATATATATATATATATATATATATATTATATATACATATATATATATATATACATATATATACATATATATATATATATATATATATATATATATTATATATATATATATATATATATATATATATACATATATATATATATGTATATATATATATATATATATATATATATATATATATATATATATATATATATATATATATATATATATATATACATATATATATATATATGTATATATATATATATATATATATATATACATATATATATATATATATATATATGTATATATATATTTATATATATATATATACATATATATATATATACATATATATATATATATATATGTATATGTATATATACATATATATATATATATATATATATATATATATATATATATATATATATATATATATATATATATATATATATATATATATATATATATATATATATATATATATATATATATATATATATATATATATCAGCTGCGCAATTAGGATTTCTGAAAAGGGGTTTCCAATTTTATGAATCCTTGGTTTTTACTTCGTGAAACCCAAAGCGTGCATATTTATATAATATATATTTACTTTTTTGGCATAAAGTCATTTTCATATTCTTTTTAAATTGTATTTATATTATTATTTATACTTTATAGTTATTTTTTTTAAAAGTTGACTAAAATTTAATTTTTTTAACAATTTAAAAAGGGGTTTCCGGGTACTGTGTAAACCCCCCCCCTCCAATTGCGCTACTGTATATATATATATATATATATATATATATATATATATATATATATATATATATATATATATATACATATATATATATATATATATATATATATATATATATATATATATATATATATATATATATATATATATTCATTATTTATATATATATTCATATATATATATATATATTCATATATATATATTCATTTATTGATTTATATATCTAACCTGTTAACTCAGGAAAAAATTTATCTAGAGATTTCAAAGCAATAGCTGGCCATAAAGACTTGATAATATTCTTAAACTCTACATCAGTTTTATTCAAATGAATCTTCAAACCACATCGAACTAGAGTCATCAAAACAGTATGAAAAGACACATTACTATCAGCGTTTAGTGGAATGTTCATCTGCATCATACGCTAATAAAGAAAATATTTAACTGTGTCTGATCTTAAATTTTCGTATTTAAAGCATATATATACAACAACTAATACAATGTCATAATATACTACTTTTTTTAAAAATGTGACTGCTACACCAGAAGAATATTGATGAACTTTTTGATAAAGATAAACTTAGCATATATACAAAATCAAGTATAAACAAAGAATATAGGCAAAGTCAATCTTATGAAGGTCTCAAGTGAATATATAATAAAGTACTAACCGGGCTTAAAAAAGTCAACTTTGAAAAAAATTGAATATCAACTTTTAAAGTAGATGATAAATTAATACTGGGTGTTTATCTCACTTACAATAATGGACAAATTGATTCACTATTAAAGCACAAATCAGAGCTAGAGTATCAGTGATTGGTAATTTAGTGACACTAATTTTGACAATGCAAACTATTGAAGGTGAAAATCTCATAAGTGGAGACCTTATTCATAAGTGAATTGTACTTTTAGGCGCAATTTAAATGAAAAGATAAAAAGTAAATTGAGAATAGACCAAGAATTTGATCAATATTTTGCAAAATATCTAGTTCGAATAAACATATGAAATCGTGTCAATTATATAAGCAATAAAAGCGATCATCTTATTTAATAAATCTAATTTTGTAAATCAAACAGAATTATCAATGAAAAAAATTGAAAAACTAGACTTGATTGGAACATTAGCAAGCAGTGCGACAAATACATGCAATATTTAGAAAAAAAGTTAAACACAATAAATATTGTTCTTAATTCTTGATGATGTTCTTAATGCGAATTCCAAAAAATTTTAAGAAACTAAATATATTTATAAACAAGAAATAAACACCAAGTAACAGGTCAAACCATAAGCAGCAGAAAAATATCAGATATAACAAGAATAAAAAATGGTGGGTCGATGAAAATGACATTCGGCAATAATTTAGAGTAGAATATTTTAATTTTACTTTTCAGTCAGAGGATTTAAGGAATAATTTGAAAATACATAAAACGCACCTCAGATAAAGCAACAAGAAAAAATAAAACAAAATCAAAAAAGTATGCAAACAATAATCGAGATACCATTTAGAAAAAGTAAAAGTGAATTTCGAAAAGATATAAAAAAGTAAGTGGAGTAAATAATGATCATTCAAACATCTTTAAAACATCAGTTGTTAAGTCAAGCGAGTAGCTTCCATGTCTCCTTAGTCATTTTTAATTTATGATGAAGACATGATAAGCTAGATTGAAAACATGAACTTTGAAACCAAGATAAATGGAATGTGTTCATGTATGGTCTATTAGTGATTGTTAGTTTATTAGTGTCATGCAGATGGTTTATTAGTGTTGAGCGATAGTTTACAACATCTAAAAACTTAACATAGGTAAATCCTATTGTGAAAAGGCAGAAAAAAACAAAAAAAACAAACAATAATAATGCAAAAATAAGAAACAAAAAAAACAACAATATATTAGAATTGGATCGAAATTAAAATTTAGCAAACTTAATTAAACAAAACTTGAGATAATCAAAACATAAATAAGGTGCCTAAGCAAATATTTAAGAGTAAGGAATAATGTGAAATACGGTTCGATGAAACAAATCAACAAAAAGCAAAAATGCATAGTAACATTTAATTCATTGTGAAAATTCAGAACAGTCAATTTTGAAGCTAGAGCATATTTGTTTAAAGACCTATTCTATACTATGAGGTTGAAAACCTAAGCTGTAATCAGAAATAAGAAAATTTGAAAAATTGAAGCGAAACTTGTAAAACGATCACTAAACCTGTGCAAATAAAAAAAAACTACCTGCCTACTAGTAGCATACAACATGGAGCTAATAACAAAACAAAAACTTTTTTTCTGTGGCTACTAAATAACAAGTTTACTAAAAAACTAAGAGGAGTTAAAAAAAGACTTCGTTCAAGAAATAACTCAAAAACAGTCCTTTAAAAAATATTACATTAACAAGGAAGAGCAATCAAAAGTAGTACTTTGGCCTTCGCAAGTAAACCGAAAATGAAATTACTTAGAAAGCAAAAGCAAAAAATGATGCAAGAAATAGTTGACTCTATAAGGACTTATTAGTTGACTATAAAAGAACTTGCTAGATCAATAGAACATCTAAGAATAATGTTTATAAGCACTTGCTTTTTCAATAAAGCATATGAAAATAATGTTGTTTAAGACTTGCTTGGACAATAGAACGTCTAAACATAAAATAATTTTTAATCACTATGTTAAAATTTTTAAGGGTGTTTTGATGTAAACGAATTCGATTGTTGTATTGTAGAATATGTATAAAATTTTGTTTTATAATGTATTTATTTATAATGTTTTTATAACTATAATGTAATGTGTGTTCTGTTTTTCATTTCTTTCATTATACTCTAGACTTTTCCAGCAACTACTGTTTTATTTTGTATATAGTATCACAAGTCTATTATTTTATTTTAGTCTTATATATTGTATCATAAATAGAATATTTTATTTTAGTTTTTTGAGAATTGTGTATTTTTCATAGTAAATATAACCTATATGGTTTTTAATGAAAATAATAATAAAAATATATTTATAAATACCTTCAAACAAACAGCTTTAGGACATTTGGTACCAAATCCGATAGGAGGAGATGTTAAGCGCATTAATTCATACAGTTTGTCATCTGTGATGTATCCTCTAATTAATAAATTAAATATTTCAAAATAAAAATAAAATGAACTTTTTTTTTATAAACACTTTGAAATAAAAAATATATATTACAAAGGGCGAATTAAGTGATCGCGAATTGAAAATTCCATAAAAAATTTTGATCTTTAAATTTTTAGTTTCTTGTAAAACTGTTACGAATGGTCGCACAAAAATGGTTTTCAAGAAAAACAAAATTTGAAGACCAGAAACTTTTACGGAATTTTCAATTCGCGATAATTTAATTCGCCCCTTGTATTAAAATTAGTTTTTATTTTATCTTAAAAGTTGCCGTTAGTTACATACGTTGCCTGAGGATCAAATTGTGACCAGCAGCTAACAAAATCTTTTAAATCTCGTAAACACATTATAGAGTTGTCACGAGTTAAATATTCAAAGTTATCCATGATTACTGCAACAAACAAATTGAGAAGCTAAAAATAAAAGATTGTGATACAAAAAAAATTACTTGCGTTGGGGTTCTTTGCAAAAAAAAAAAAAATGTATAGATTAAGATTAATACAGTAGTGGTGTAGTGGTAGAGCGCTCGACTCATAAGCAAGAAGTTCTGAGTTTGGTCCCCACCACATATGGTAGTACCCTGCTCAACTTTTTTTCTCCGCGCAGCTGCCTTGCTTGCTGAAGTTTGTGTTTTGGAGTTTTAGAATTGAGAGAGGGTTGTTATCAGAAAAGTAGCCTCCTGTACTGTAGTGGCCTTCTCGGCCTTGGGGAGGTAAATAATTATAAAAAAAAAAAAAATTGATAAATAGAATCACCACAAAAATAACAAAAACTAATTCTGCTACAAACTCGGGAAAGAATTTATGACAAAGAGCTTATACAAAACATACACTTCTTTTGACCACCACACCAACAATCCCGTTTTATCTATTCTTTATCTCACCTTTAAAACCTCTTGTCTATTTATTAGACAAAGATGGAAAATAAATATACCTATATGTCTGAAATTGAATGCTAGACAATTTATATTTATATATAAATTTTAGCTCTATGAAAACTTATCTTTTTTTTCTTTTTCTTAGGTTTAAAAACTTATTTTATTTTCACTATTATTTTTTTCTTTGAATAAACAGTTCAGTAAACTTACTTAATAAAACTAATTGGAATTCTTAAACGAATTAATTAAATCTTAAATCACTTAATAAATTTTTTATTTTAGATAATTTAGATTATTATTTTAAATTTAAATTCCTTGTAAAAATTTCTAAAAAAGTCCGTAACACAATTGCAAAATCAGCCAAAGTTATATTTTATTATTTAAGCTACTTAGGTTGCAAGCATGTTATCTAACTGATAATTATCTTTTTTATGCTAAAACTACTTTTATCTTTTTATCCAGTGTTTTTCTATTTTTTCAGTTTTATTTATTTTTATTCAGTGTTTTTTTCATTTTTTAGAATCCTTTTGTAAAGAATCAAGCTTTAAATATTGTCAAAACTCATTCCTTTGTATAATTACTAAATGCATGCAGCCATGTTAAAAGTGAATTAAAAAAAAAAAGAATTAAAACTAAAAAATTATTAAATATAAATAATATTTATTACTTACAAAAAACCTTGAGAGAAACATATATGAAATAAAATAAATTCGAGCCAACATAGTATTACCACATGGAACATTTGAATGTAATAAATAATTTTCATCGCATTTGGCATTATCATAACATTCACTCATTATTTCACTCCAATTATCACCAGAAGAACACCTTTAATAATTTTTAGCTAAGTTATTTATTTCTTTTAAAGCATAGGCAAAAAAAACAAAATAAATAAAACTTAAAAGTATTACAAAAAACATAAATACCAAAATCGAAATAACATAATGGTAAAAAACACAAATACCGAAATAGAAGTAGAATAGTTTTAAAAATGTCACAGAAGTTGTTCATCTCATTTAGTTGATTAGTCTTTTCTAACTTGATGTTGCCAAACAACTAAAAAGAAAACATGTTTGGCAATATATATTCATTAAGATACATGTATATTTAAAAGTATACATACATACACACATACATATATATATATATATATATATATATATATATATATATATATATATATATATATATATATATATATATATATATATATATACACATACAAATATATATATATATATATATATATATATATATATAAATAAATATATATATAAATAAATATATATATATATATATATATATATATATATATATATATATATATATATATATATATATATATATATATATAATATATATATATATATATATTAGGGTGGTTCAAAAATGGGTCATTGTAAAACTTCAACAAGAGTGGAAGCTTATAAGGTGCCCAGATATTGGTTTTATATATAAATTTTTTTTTTTTTTTCGTTAATGTTCAAGGGTGGCCCACGGGCCCTAAACATTTTAATTTTGATGTTTTTTGTTGATTTTTCGGAAATTTCAACGCCTGTGGGCCACCCTAAAACAATGGAAAAAAAAAAAAAAAAAAATCATCAGTAAACTCAGAATGAGTAATAGAAACAAATAAAAATGCACTCTTAATGAAATTTTTTATGTAAAAAGTCTGAATGAACCTGAAAAAAATTAGGAAAACCGAATATTTGGGTTTTTCAAGCTTTTTTTTTTAAGTTTCTTATGATGACATTTTTATCATTTTTTACAGTTAAAATCTCATAAATATGTATAGAAAATCTTTTACCAGTATAAATAATATTTTTTTTAAGATAATTTAAAATTAATTAAGATGAGAAAGATGACTATCTAGACTTCAATGTACTCTATAACCCACATATTTTCTCAGCGTACAACAGTACTGAGTACAACTGTACACATTTATTCCAAACTGGCAATAAGACTGCAAGTGACGTCAATCAAGTGTTTGAACTCGTAGCAAAACTTAAACAAATACAAGTGAAGTTCTAAGAAATATGTTTATTCTATAATATTAAAATATATAAAGTTAAATTATGTTATGTCTATTATTTCTTTTATAGTTAAATAGATAAAATGCCAAGAACTCCTGGATAAAAAAGAAAGAGGGCTGATGAAATATTCTTAGTAGATAAATCAAGGGACTCACTTCCATCTAAGCAATTTGCCACAGGAGAAGAGATTATTCAGTATTTCACCTTCACCTTCGTAAAATCATGCCTAATGCTGCTCTGAAAAATCTTGCCTGCTGTACCAACAGTAATGGTTTTACACAAATCTGTCCAGAAGATAAGAATCACTGCTGTATTATGTCTAAGCTGGTGGTACATTGGAAGCTTGGGGGGTATAGAACTCGTGATGTACAGAATTCTCTCAGGTTTGTTTCATTAATATTAATATAATTTGTAATTACTTGATTACTTTATTTGTAATTACTTGAAGTTTTTTATCATTAATCATTTTAGGAAGGAAGTAAAAACATTGCTAAATAACTACAAGAAGTTGCAATCTCATAGGAATAGAGGAAAACCAGCAGAAATCATGAAGAGGAAGAAATTTGTAACAGAATCTAAGAAGGTATTTTGGATAGGATATAACATAGAAGTATTAATTAAAGAAATAAAACAGGACAGAAAAAGAACAGCTGAAGCCAAGAAAGAAGATATCAAATTCTTGAATATGCAAAAGGAGAAAAGGACAGGTTACATAGGACCTAACGACACCAGCTTCAAAAAGGCAGCTGAGAGAACTTCTAAAAATGTTTGTGGAGATGTGAGTGAGAAATCTGATGAGGAGTTGGTGGAATTAGACAAAGATGAATTAGATACTTCTGTTGATTCATTAAGTAATGCAGGTGATGTCAATGAAAGTGATCTGGATGAGTTTGTTTCCACAAATGTCCAGGATAAAGAAAATAATGCACTTTTACCTAAAGATATTCTCAGGCGTACTGCTATAACTGCTGCAGGTGAAGGTCTTTCAGTGAATCAGCACACTGCTATCATAAGCAGTGTAATAGCTCTTTCAGGAGAAAATGTTGGTAAATATGTTGTCTCTAAATCTTCTTCTTTAAGAGCCATAGATCATGTGATTAATTCAGAAGCTGAAAAAATTCGACAGTACATCAAGAACCTGGCCATCTTATGTCATAAATTGATTTCTGTCCATTTCGATGGAAAGATAATAAAAAAGTACGCAGGAAATCTTTCACTTACTCAAGATAGACTTGCTGTACTAGTGAAAGTTAATGGGAAAACTGAGTTACTAGGTATTCCGCCAATTGATTCAGGGGCTGGAGAACAGCAGTTCAATGCTATTTATGAACTTCTAGAGAATTATGGTCTCACTAACCAAGTGCAATGTATCTGTTTTGATACCACTGCATCAAACACTGGAAGGCTTCAAGGTGTAAATACCAGAATGTCAGAAAAATTAGGACGGCCACTTCTTCTCCTTGTCTGTTGACACCATGTTCTGGAGCGTCATATTACTCACTTCTGTAAGATGTACCCAAGTAATAAACTTACAGGACCAGATAACCAGCTGTTTAAAAAAATCAAGTTAGTCTGGAATGATCTAGAGAAAGATATACTGCCCCTGAAAAGGGTTGAAACTCCACCTGAAACCTGAATAAACCAACAGCAAAAGGAATCTCATCAGTTCTACAGAAATTTAATCAACAATAAAACATACAAGAAGGTAAAATGAATCATTCATTCTAATATATTATTATTCTGTAACCTATTTTTGTATGTATTTTAATGTTTATAAACAATAATTGATAAAATACACGATGGGAAATCAAGAAAAGATTACCAGGAGTTAGTTGAGCTCTCTTTTTATATATATCTCTTTTTATAAATTTCATATGCCTGGACCTGTACACCATGCCAGGTTCATGGCTAAAGCCTTGTATTATCTGAAAATGTACCTTCTACTCGATCACATTCCTGGTTTAGCTAAAGAGAACAAAGAGGAAATATCTGATATGGCTATGTTTGTCAGTATATTTTATGCTCAATGGTTCCTTAGAGCTGAGTTGCCAGCTGTCTCTCCATATCAGGTAAAGTTATAAAAGCTTTAGAATAAAAATAAAAATGACAACATGTAAAGTATAACAATTGAATATTATTTACTTTAAATAATTGATAGGACATAAAAACCCTCTGGCAAAGGAAGAGGTTTATGGAAATAAATCTTCCTGGAGCTACTGAAGTAGTTCGATCAATGTCAAGGCATGACTGGTACTTAAGTCCAGTTCTATTTGTGTTTGTTTTAGCTGATAAGAATTACCCTGATAGAGACGAGTTAGCTCAGAAACTCAATAGTACTCATTTGGACAGACCCAATGTCTTCAAACTGGAGCGTGTTGAAGTAGATAAGAAAGTTATTCACTCACTAAACTTCTCCCAAAATCAGCCTCCATCCCTAGCATCTCTTATTACAAACCAATCTTGGCTGATCTTTGATAAGATTGGCCATGGGAAGGGGGAGTTGCAGTGGCTTAAAACCCCTTCACAATTCTGGGAGCTGAATGATTTTTATCTAGAGTTTGAGACTACCATCGAATCTCTAGATGTAGTCAATGATTCTTCTGAGAGAGCTATCAAATTAGTTTAGGAACTTATTATGAAATCTAATAAAAAGGAGAAGAGGCAAGATATGTTCTTGTTTAACCATGTCTACAAGAGAAGTAAACAAGGATCCAAGAAGAACGATCTCGCAGCAAATGCTACTTCCAGCATTATTTGACTTTTTAGTCAACAAAACTGTACCATGATCAACAAAAAAAAAGATTTTTTTAAATATGTTTTCAAATTTATATATAAAATGCAATAATGTGGTATGATATTTAAAACCTTTGATGGTTTAACTGTAAAAAATAATAAAAATGTCGTCATAAGAAACTTAAAAAAAATTTTTATATCAAAATTACCTAATAAGTAAGCTATGAAATTGTATTCTTTCTAAAAAGTGTCCTCTGAGGCAGAACCACATAGACGCACAGGAGGCACAACCGCATACTTTTAATATTTACTAAAAAAAGTGTGCCCCCAACGATAATATGTGAGGGTGCAGTTGTGCCTCACAATATGGGCAAAACCGTTTTTTTCACTAAGTGTAATTGTTGAGTAATAATATTTTTAAAAACCCTATAATTTTTTATAAAATTGCATCAATTTAAAGCTTAATGATGTGGTTACTGAAATAAATTGTTAAAAAAACACATTTCGTTTTTCTTTCATATAACATTAATCCAAATGTTACGGAGGCTGTTAAGCACCCACATCATGTATATATATATATATATATATATATATATATATATATATATATATATATATATATATATATATATATATATATATATATATATATATATATATATATACAGCTGTTCATGAAAATTAAACGAGGGTGTAATTTTGATCAAGTAGGTTTAGTTTTTTCTTAATAAAAAAAAAAGTAAAAATGATGTCGACTTTTTTTTTTATTTATTAAAGAAAAAGTAATAAGGTTTACAACTAATGTGAACTTGTTATGAAATTATTTATGTTATTTAAAGAAAAGTTAATTATAAAAATACACATGGGAAAAATGAGTAGCACAAAAGTTTAAACAAATTTTTACAAACAAACAAAAAATGGAAAAAAAAAAAAGCAAAATTAATGTTTAAAATGTTCGTTTTTATAGCAAAGATAAACTTGTTTCTGCATCAATTCATGCACATCTCTTAAGATTCTTCAATTAGTACTCATTCAAAAGTTGAACTTTTCAATTGGGTTTAGATTTGATTCATTAGATTCATTCAAAAGTTGAACTTCAACTAGTACTCATTCAAAAGTTGCTTTAAGTTGATTGTATTTGGTGATAAGTAAGTTGATTGTCAATCCAAGACCAAATATTTTCAATTGGGTTTAGATTTGGTGACCTTGGGCACTAAGGAATTACATTAATCTTTTTTCTGCAAAAAATATTCTTTAATTGATTTAGCTGATTTAATTTAATTGATTTAG